GTTTTTGGTTTTTTTTTCATACTGAGCCTTGGTTGTACAGAGCTGCTTATTTAAAAAAGAAAAAAAAAAATCCCAAACACAGTTTTTTCCTCTGTTTAACACCTTTGTTTTATTCTTCAGCACCTCAAGGTTTCACATACAGCCAATGTAATTTTTTATATATAAATATATATATATTTAATCTTATTCAATGGAAGCCAAGCTTTTTTTTTTTAAATTTTGTTGCTATGTAGATGATGGCCCTTACCCAAAACTTACGTTGTTTCCCTTTTGTTTTTTTTTTTTCCTTTTTTAAACAAATGAAACAAAAATTGAGTCTTAACTCACGTAGTGTCCCAGGTTGTTTTTTTTTGCCCTTCAAATCCCAAACTGTACGCAGATACAGCATGGGGAGAAAGAAGAAAAAAAGTATCTATAAAAAGGAAGAAAAATGACGCCAACGTTTTCCTTAGCACTGTTGCTTTTACCAATGGTTTACTACTACTGTTCTGTAGCTGTGTACAAAGAGATGTGAAATAATTTCAGGCGAAAATAAACTGTAAGCGACTATCTTTTAGCTGCGTGCTTTGTGCTTTCTTTGAAGGAAGATCTCCAGCCTGGCGCCGTGGGGATGCTGCAGGAGCCCAAGGACAGCATTGCACTGATACGTATTGTTGGACTGCAGAGATGCTGAGGTGTGTTTTGGGACAGTGTCCCCGTGGGGAGATGTGCTGCACTTGCATTGCCTGTTGGCCACGGTGCACAAAGTCCAGCTGCAGTGTCCCAGCTCTGCTGCAGTCCTTGGGACAGTTAGCAAACTCTTCGAGCTCTTAGGTTCCACTTGGAGCTCTTGGGACTGGTTTCATGACCAATCTATGTTACGTGGTCCATATTGTCATCCATGTTTCTGTGTTTCCAGACAAGGTAAGGAGTGCTCACCCCTCGATAGAGAGAATTAACTGTGCCTTCAGCCTTCCCACTGAAGTGCCGCTCTGCCACAGCTGAGGCAGTTGAGGCAGATGATCGTTCTGCTGTTCACATGGTAAAGGCTGGAGCGCCTCTCCTATGAAGTTATGCTCACAGATGCCCATCCCTGGAGGCATTAGAGGCTGGGCTGGATGGGCCCTGTGCAGCCTGGTGGTGGGGCAGGCAGTCCACGGTGCAGGGCTGGAACTGGGTGGGCTTGCCCAAACCATTCTGTGCTTCTCTGATGTCTGTGTCTGTCTGACTTCTGACTTCAAGTGATCATTACTCTGCCCTGCCAGGTGCCTTTGGCGTCCAGCCAGCCCCAAATGCTGAGCACTTCGTTAGGAATTTCTAATGATGGCATCGGACAAGGGGTTCTCATATCAGTCACAAAATGTGAGCATTAGAGGTGGTATAATAGGAGATGCTGCATCTCAGCTTGTGCTCAGAAAGGTTTGTCTGAGTTCTATAGTAGAACGCCTGGGCTTGTGGGGCACCCTGGCAGTTCCTCCTGGATAATGATACCTTTCTGCCTTCCTTTCAGCTGTAGCTTGTTGAAAATAGGGGCCATTAAAAACTGCTCAATTTCATTTGGGAGGTTACTGCAGCGCATCTTCCTGGGGACTGTGAGTACCGGGGCTTTCGCTTTCAACCCAAACTACCACAGTGGCTTTGATGCAAGTCCAAAGTGCACAAAGCAGCAGCACTACTTTGTTTCTGGGGCAATTTTCTCACGTCCTCATTAAAAACCTGCAGTTGTGCTGCCTTCCTATGGCTTCCCCCACTGCTCTCAGCTACGTGTAGAGTTCTAGAAGGCCAAACACAGAGAGGAATCTCACAGAGCGCTGGTTGCTTCCAGTTTCCTAAGCGAATGGATACTAGTTAGGCACTCAGAAGCCTAAAATCCTGATAATTTATGGCTGCTTTGCTCGGTGTGAAGTGCAGGCATCCCAACAGCTGGTGAGTTGGAGAGCTGACCCGTGTTTGTACCAGGAAGAGCTCGGTGTGTCACATTTGTATGGCTCTCTTACACCAGGCTGAGCCCAGCCCTCCAAACCTTGAGGACCTGAGCTCTGCCCAATGCCATGAGCCCCACGGTGACAAACAAACAGCAGGGCGGTTTGTCTCAGGATTGCCACCCCCCTGGTGACCCACATCTCATATATGTATACATACATAAATGTATCTCATCTGGAAAAGAGCTCCTTGAAGCCTTCCATACGTCTATATGCAGTGAGGGCTGTGGAGCATCTCCTGTTCTCACGCTGCAGGCAGTGCTGACCTCTCCCAGGCTCGGTGAAGCCGACCAGATGCCCCCATTAGAACACATCAGTCAGCTATATTGCTGTCTTGAATTTTTAATGATTTTTGCCAACTCAATATAGTACTTGCTTCAAAATATTTTAAGTGGATGTTAACATCCAGTTTTTTTCCATTCTCCTTCCTACTGACTGGGGAATATTAAGTAAATATTTGAGATGAACCATTTTTATTAAAAACAGATCTTGGGATATCCCTATTTGAGAGGAGAATTAAAGATGTGGGTGTTTCTCCTGCTGATCCAGTTCCTGGTATTGTTTGTTGGGTGATCTCACTTCTGTGCTTTTCGCCTGTCTGGTAGAACAACTACTGTCATATATTTGTCCTTATAAAATAGATCCCATCAGATTTTGAACATATTTGCACACAGGTCTCACCGTGACCCACTGGTCACAAAGGACCCATTGGTCAGTGTAGCTGTCAATGTAAATATGTGTCCTCTTTCTACAAATCTTTATGTGGATGGAACCAAAGGTCTGTATGTGGGGTATAGCTTACAGCTCATTTCCAGTTCATTACTGTCACTCACTATCACAGAATTGTCAAGGTTGGAAAAGACCTCCGAGGTCATCCACTCCAACCCTCCATTCCCACTGCCAATATTCCCCAACTAAACCGTGTTGAGTTTGCTTCACATATCCAGCAGTTGGTACAGAAACCAGCTTCTCCTTAATTCCTGTTCCAACTGGGTGGGATATCAAAGCAATAATCCCTTATTTGTATCACAGTACACACTTTGAAGTTGAGTTGTTCACAGTAGCTAAATGAGGTGCTTTAAAATCTTAAAAGTCTCTCCCCCCTGAAAACTCCCATTCTTAGGTATGCTTTTACTGTAAACTCAATGCTTTTGTATTGTTGCATGAAGTTCTTGGGGGGGAG